CGGGTCTAGATCACTCCTTTTGCTCCTCTTGAACTTCTAATGAACCCCAAATGTCTCCAAAGCTTCCATGTGAAACTCCAATACCTAAAGGGGACTCATGTATGCAAAATGCAACCTAAACATGGCTAGAACCTAACCTACATGATGAAAAGATATGCAAAAGAGTAGATAAAACAATGCAATAATGCAAGACATCAGATAGTGTACCAATTATTACTAGAAAACTGCAAAAAAAAAAACTATTGTAAGGAATCAAATTAATTAATAGTGAACTGAGACTTGAGAGGAGTGGGACCTTGAAATGTGACGCCAGTAGGTTAGTTTTACACTTGATACTCTTCATAGTTATTAATAATCTAAGTTATTCTCGTCTGATAAGTAAGATTTGCAAGCTGGGAAAGATAATAATTTAATTGTTTGCTTCTTAAATCATGTGTTTAGTTTAATCAAGTTACGTAAGGAGACACATTCATTACATTATGATGACTTGGACTGGAAGCAAATGAAAACGGATCTTAAATTTTCGGGACACTAAATAGATTTGTGCTTTTATTTGGTTATCTTTCATAAACAATTTATTTTATGAAAAATGTTTTATAGGAACCGCTGGGATATGGAGAATAGCAGCGATAAATGAAGCAGGTGGGTGGAAAGATAGGACCACCGTGGAAGATATGGACCTCGCCGTCCGAGCAAGTCTCCGTGGCTGGAAATTTCTCTATCTCGGTGACCTTCAGGTTTTCATTTACTTAAAATTTATAATTTTTCAATTAACTAAAATGAAATACTAATTTACATCGAAGTACAAAAAGTAGTTGGTGCACAAGATACTTCTCTCATTAAACACGTGACAACTGATTCCTAAGTTATGTTATAATCATATACCTATTTAAGAACTAGTTATATTTTGTTATTACATATGAAATACTAACTGCTATACATAAATATTAATATGAATTGTTTTAAATTTTTTAGGTGAAAAGTGAGCTTCCAAGTACTTTTAGAGCCTTCCGTTTCCAGCAACATAGATGGTCTTGTGGACCTGCAAATCTCTTTAGGAAAATGGTCATGGAGATTGTCAGAAACAAGGTAATTATAAATTAGCTTACTCTTTTTTTTTACATGTGGTAACTAATTCTTTTAATCTGACTATTACTGATCTTTTTCCAGAAAGTGAGATTCTGGAAGAAAGTGTATGTGATCTACAGCTTCTTCTTTGTGAGGAAAGTCATTGCACATTGGGTCACATTTTGTTTCTACTGCGTTGTTCTTCCTCTCACCATTCTTGTCCCTGAAGTTAAAGTTCCCATCTGGGGTTCCGTTTACATCCCTTCCATCATCACTATCCTAAACTCCGTTGGCACTCCCAGGTAACTTGAGTTTTTTTTGTACCTAGGGTTCTGTGATTAGGTTACTTGTCTGTCAAGTAACTCCTCTGTTTCTGTAGTTTCTTATACTGAATTTTATTTTTATTTTTCAAAAGGTCGATTCATCTGCTGTTCTACTGGATTCTGTTTGAGAATGTGATGTCGCTGCACCGGACAAAGGCCACACTCATTGGTCTGTTTGAGGCAGGTAGAGCTAACGAATGGGTCGTGACAGCTAAGCTTGGAAGCGGTCAAAGTGCTAAAGGGAACACAAAAGGGCTTAAAAGATTCCCAAGAATCTTCAAGTTGCCTGATCGGTATGTCTACATTCTATACCGTAAACGTCTCTTATAAGAAAGCTATATATAGACACTTGATGGCTGTGATTAAATTGTCACAGATTGAATACACTTGAGCTTGGATTCGCGGCATTCTTGTTCGTGTGTGGATGTTATGACTATGTGCATGGGAAGAACAACTACTTCATCTACTTGTTTCTTCAGACAATGTCTTTCTTCATCAGTGGGCTTGGCTGGATTGGGACGTATGTTCCGAGTTAGTAGTTGTGTTTCAGGAGAAAAGAAGAAAGTCCACAAAAAATAAAACAATTTTCATGGGAAAACACAAAGAAAATTGATAGGGAAAGAAGATAGAGACGTCCGTGACAAGTAGGAAGAAAAGGAAGCGAAGGAGCAGAGTGGCTCGAAGGGTTCTTTTGATTTATCATTTTCTGCTTTTTTTTTTAATATTCGGCTATTGGATTGTTATTTCAAATTTCTTTGTTTGGTTTTTATTTTTGTTTTCTTTAAAGTGAGATTTTGTATTATTATTTTTAAAAAATATTCTGTGTGAGTTCAAAAATATGCATTGGTAAATTACTAAATTTCTAAGAGTCATCTGCCCATATGATACTTAACAAACTACCAAACCTTGGTGCTTCTCCATATAACAGGAGCTTACAATCGGAACCAAATTCTGTATAAATATTTAGTATGCATATGCAAGGTATACCATCAAGATCTATAAACACTAATTCTAAATACTATAACAATTTGAAACTTTTAAGTAGAAAAACTAATGATTATAGATATCTTTTACACATTAATTCTGGCTAAATATTCATAATTGTATCTACCATCTAGTAAGTACTGACATCGAGAATCTTTACACATACAGTACAGTGAAAACTCTATAAATTAATAATGTTGGAACTTCACCAAAATTTTATTTTTTTTATTAATTTATAAATATATTAATTTATCGATATACTAATCGAAATAAAAACTTAATTTGAAACTATAAGATTATATTATTTTATAGAAATATTTAATGTATATTAATTTATTGAATATAAATTTATAGAGGTTTTACTGTATTTACACATTTAATGATTGAAAAAATAAAATCTAAATTCTTGACAACTCATAATTTAAATTTACAAAAGCCGTAAAAACAACTTCTCAAAATCCAATCTGTTTTGGGCCAGGCCCAGGCCCTTCGAAAGTCCTGAGATATTGAGCACCGAGTGAGTACTACGTCTTCTTCGTCACTTCGTAAAAATTATTACAAAACCCTAAACGAATCAGCAGGTCATTTGCGCAATCGGATCTCATGGAAAAAGAACGCTTATCGAAAAAGAAACGAATGTACGTCAACTGGCCTGAAGATTACATAAAATTCACACAACATTCCTCAAAACCTAGAGAAGATACGATAAGCAAGTTACCCGATTCTTTAATCTCTCAGATACTCTCCCATCTCCGGACAAAACAAGCTGTTCGAACTAGTGTTCTGTCCAAAAGATGGAAAAGTCTCTACCTTTTGATCCCCGCGCTGGTTCTGTACGCTAACGAGATCCCAAATCATAACTCCTTCGTTAGTTTCATCGATAGGTTTCTAAACTTCTCTAGAGAACAGAACTCAGTCTTGCACAAGAGCTAAGTATTCGAAAAAACGTGAATGATCCTCCCTGTGTCACGCGGTGGATTGATTCTGTAGCGTCGTCTAAACTTGAGAATCTTGATGTTGAGTGTCTTGTGAACCGTAAGTTTCTTGAAGAGCTTCCGCAAAGCCTTTATGTATGTGACACACTTGTGTATCTAAGACTCCATCGTGTCTATTTGGGTGAGTTTGATGAGTCTGTGTCTTTACCTTGTCTAAAGACAATGGAGTTAGAACACAATGTATACGCTAATGACACGAGTTTGGAGTTGTTTATCTCGTCTTGCTCTGTTCTTGAGGATTTGAGCATTGTTAGAATGGCACCGGATATGATAAGGGTTTTAAGAGTGTGCTCTAAGACGTTGACAAGTCTTCATATAGACTATTTGTTCGGTGAAGATGATGACTTTGATGAAGAGGGTTACGAGAGAGATGGGTCAGGGGTTTTCATTGATGCTCCGAGTCTCAAGTTCTTGAAATTTGAAGATGATTTATCTGATAGTAAGATCATTACCAATTCAGGGTCCTTAGCTAAGGTTAACCTTGTTTTCGTCTTTAGTGAGAATGATATTGCTGATGTAATAGAGTTACCAAAGCGAGATATGGTCCGTAACTTCTTTACTAGCATCTCAGGAGTTACTGATATGAAGCTCTCTTCGGATACTGTGGAGGTATCTATCTATCTTTGTATTTCATATAACACTCTGCATCTAGTGTTTTCGCTCACTTTTTCTTTCTTTCTGAACAGTTTCTCCATTACAACAATCAATTCGACCCACTGGTACTTCCCCAGTTTTGCAACCTTTCTCGTTTAAAACTGAAGGTTTATAAGTCATCTCTGGAAATGATACCAACTCTTCTTGGGAGCTGTCCGAATCTGAACTCACTCGTCTTGGTGCTGGTAATGACTTTCAGAACCAAACACTTGAAAGGAATCGATTGTCTTTATATTCATTCATCATGTTTAATACAGGATTTTTATACTAATGATGAGAAAGCACCAGAGATGAGAGCTGCACCAGTACCAAGGTGTTTGCTATCATCATTAGAGTATGTAGAGATAAAAAATTTCAACGGAAGGCCTGCAAGAATGGAAGTAGCAAAGTACTTTGTAGAGAACTCACTGGTCCTTAAAAGACTTGTTCTTGATATTGGCTACTCCACCTGGGCAAAAGGGTGTCACATCACAGAAGAAGAGTTTTACATGTTGAGGGATCTCCTTGCATTGCCCAGGGGATCTAGAACGTGTCAAATCCTACTTAAATGATCAGACTCAAGAGTAGCATTTTCAAGCTAGTTTTGTTAGACTGCATTTGTTTCTTTTTGGTTTTTTTTTTTTTTGTTGTTTAAATTTAGATTATGAAGTGAAGTCTTTGTGAGCTTTTTGGTCACTATTTATGGATGATGCTTGAGAATTCTACAACTACACAGTTTTTGTTTCTGTCTTCTCTTAAGCCAATCTGTTCACCATTAGGCATCAGCAAGTTTAACATTCTTGATTTTCCACATCTTATAGATCAAATTAAAGTACTGTACCTTTTTGATATTATTCAAAGAATTAATTATTGATTTTTTGGCAAAACTTTTAAAATCTCGAATTATTTACAAAATTTTAAAATTTTTAGGGTTTATTTTAAGACTTAAGAATAAAGTAAATAATTTTTGGATAAATTTTTATTTTTTTTCGAATAAAATAAATATATTAGTTTTAACTTTATGAAACAAACCAAATTTGAAATTAAAACTAAAACTAATATTATGATTTTTAGGAGTATTGAAAATTTAGTTTTTTTTTTAACTATAACTTAAAACAAAGTTTTACAAATTTGAGATTTGTTTTTGAGTTTTAGAGATTCTTAAAAATTTGTTTGAAACTTACTAATATTTTTGATTAAAAATATATAGTTTAGGTATTAAAATAAGTACATATTTTAAAGTAACTGTATTTAAATGAACGAAGTAATTAGTTTAAGTATTAAATCAAGTAGCAAAAAAGTTTAGGTGTTTAAAAAGTTAAATAAAATTTGGGGGCATTTTTATGGAATTGTATATTTTTGATGTTTTTCCAAGCCAACAATCTCGCGCGAAATCAAGATTCCGTATATTTAAAGAGAATTCTTCGGAACCAAACAATGTTTAGAAATCCAAATCCTAGAAGACGAATCTGCCAAAGTCATTAGTGAATCTAATAGCAGCGAGAGAGCAGAGCTCCGGTGCGGTGAGACCTTTCTTGTTCAACAATCTTTAGCTACATTTCTCTAAATAATTTCAGAAAATCATGAAACCCTAAATCCATTATCTTGTTCTCTAAGTTTCTCCTGCCTAGATGTTTTTTTTTTCTGCTCCAGTTTCGAGTAGATTTATGTTCACTTTACTCTTGGTACAATGATGTTGCCTGCCTATGCATATTAACTGAAGATTCAAATAGCTTTTGTGTTAAGCTCCTGGAGAACTCGCCAGTGCTCAAGAAGTTTAAAATGTGTTTGCGTCGTGGTAGAATGAAGGAAGAGTCAATCATCTTGATGGAACTCTTGAGACTAAAGAGATGCTCTCCTTCTTATGAAGTTGTTGTTGACCTTGAAGAGTTAAAAGAAACTTGTCAAAGTATGATGAGATACTACACCTTTTTGTAACACTTGCAGTTTTCCCTTCTAGTAACAAGAATTGGATTTTACTCTGGCTTGAGAAGTGGTCATGTGTGAAATTTTCAACACCCTTAAGTAGTAGTTAACTCATAGTAATCAATTTTTAGGTTCGATTCAGTTTGGTTGGAGTTTATTTATTTTTCAGTTTGTTGGTTTTGTGAAAGAAGGAACCAGGACTGGACTTTACTATGGTTTGGAAAATTGTATATTGCTTGAGCTGAGATTTGGTTAGGTCTTTGATGAAAAATAATATTAGTAGGCAAACTTTTTAGGTCATGTTCTAAACTCACTCGTCTTGGTGCTAGTAATGACGTTCACAACTCAAAGACTTTCAAGGAATCTGTTTTCTTTATATTCATCACAGAAAAAGGGTTTTACATGTTGAGGGATCTCCTTGCATTGTCCAGGCCATCTAGCATATGTCAAATCCTACTTAATGATCAAACTCAAGAGTAGCATTTTCAAACTGGTTTATTAGACTGCATTTGGATTTTTTTGGTTTTTTTTTCCTTTGTTACTGAAGTTTCTATTATGATGTCCCTTTGAGCATTTTGGTCATTAGTTATGGATGATGCTTGAGAATTTTATAACTATACAGCTTTGTTTGTCTTCTCTTAAGCTATCTCTGCACCATTATCAAGTTCAGCATTCATGATTTTCCACATATTATATATCAAATTAAAGTATTGTACATATTTCATATTCCTTCTGTTTTATAAAGATGTATGTTTTAAAAAAAAAGGTTTCAGAAAAATACAATTTTGTATTTATATTAATTTTTGTCAACTAATCATGACTAATTATAAAATTTTAAAATATTAATTGTATTTATTGATTTTTTATTGGTTTATGATTATAAAAAATAGATAATCAAAAAAATTATTCAAAGATAAAGATGCATGTTTTAGAAGAAAATTTTGTTTCAAAAAATAAGTTTTTATTGTATTTTCAACAGATTTTTATTAACTAATAATGATTAACTGTAAACTTCAAAAATCCTAATTGCATTTTTTTAATTTTTATTGATATATGATTATAGGAAATAGATAATCACAAAACTATACACTTATAAACTAAAATTTAATATATTTTTAATATATGTGAAAATGGTAAAACATACAATTACTTGGAAATAGAGAAGATAAGTACTCATTTCGTTTCATTTTATTTGTCATTCTAGGTTTTTACACACATATTAAGAAAACACTTAATTTTACATATTTTTAAGATAAAAACAGAATTACATATACACCTAACCACTTTTCAACCAATAGAAAAATAAAATATCATATAAAACTAATAAATTTTGCTTCGAAACTTTAAAACGACATTTATTTTGAAACGAATTTTGTTCTCTAGAATCAGAACTAATTCGAAACGGAGTAAATACTATTTAAAGAACTAAATTATGTACTGTATTCTTGGCATCTATTTAATACTAGGTGGTTTCCCGTGCTCATGCACGGATATAAATATTTTTAAATTAAATATATAATAATAATTGATTATTATTTACTTTAATTTTAAATTAATTTATAATTTATATGCATCATTTATATTAATAGTATTATATTACTTTACTTATACTGTAATTTTATATATGTTATATCTAGTCAATTTTGTTGTTTTACGGTTGGTTTAGTTATCATTTGGATAAGTTGGATTGCATCTCTGAATTCAATTGTAATATTTTTAAAATATATTAATTTTAATTAGTTATTTATTTGCATATGGTGGGTGTTGTCTTAGATATGTAAATATATTTTAGGAAAATTATGCATAACTTAAGATATATTGTGCTTAGAATGAATTAAAAATTAACTAAAGTATCTGATTCCAAAATACGTAAATTAATATAACGAAAATATTCTAAAGTCTCATGGATATATATAAATTTTACAAAAGAACTAAAATTGTAAGAGTTGGTTAGTATTTATTTTTATTTGTTAATACGTTTTGAGTTATCATATGATCAATAAAAGGTTACATGCATTTATAAATTCTAAATAGCTTTATGCTTTAGATTTATTGAATTTAAACTGAAATTTATTTTAAATAATCTTAAGGTAGGAGGATTCAGATTTGCTTTGATATTTTGATTATGGTTATATTTAGTTTCACAAAAATAAAACTTTAAATTTAAAACAATTAATATTAATAAAATAAATAATTTTAATAATGATAAAATATCATATATCTAGCTCATTAGAACAATTATTTTGACCAAACGATATTTATTGTTAAATTTATTTTTAGTTTTTAATATCTCTTAAAAATAAGCACTACGCAAAATTGTGATTGTATTTGAAAATAATATTATATAAGTAAAATATAAATTCTAGATAATTTTCTGTAATTGAAAGATATTATAGTCAACTAAATATATGAAAATAAATAAAAATTCAAGAATACTAATTATAAACTATTTTATTACTCTAAAAGTAAGCACTACACAAAATTGTGATTGTATTTGAAAATAATATTATATAAGTAAAATATAAGTTCTAGATAATTTTCTGTAATTGAAAGATATTATAGTCAACTAAATATATGAAAAATAAATAAAAATTCAATAATACTAATTATAAACTATTTTATTACTCTAAAAGTATATTTTATGTTATTTAAAAATATTTTTAAATGTANTTGTATTTGAAAATAATATTATATAAGTAAAATATAAGTTCTAGATAATTTTCTGTAATTGAAAGATATTATAGTCAACTAAATATATGAAAAATAAATAAAAATTCAATAATACTAATTATAAACTATTTTATTACTCTAAAAGTATATTTTATGTTATTTAAAAATATTTTTAAATGTATTATTACTATTTTGTGAAATTTCATTTTTTATGAAATTATATTATATATACATATTTTTTATGTTATTTAAAAATATTTTTAAATGTATTATTACTATTTTTTCAAATTTCTTTTTTTATGAAATCATATTATATATACATATATTTTCGTTTTAAATTTGTTTTTTATGACTTTATAAAAAATGCCTTTTTATTACATATCTTTTTGGAAATTTTTGAAAAGGAAAAACTAAAAATAAAAGAAGTAATAATACTATTTTCAACTATTTTTAATTCATTAAGGGTATCAATGTAATCAACCATCGTGAGAATGAACGTGAGAGCGACACATAGGAAACTGACTTCTCAAATAATATTATAGAGATATTCTTGATATTATCCAAGCCGACAATCTCGCGCTAAAAAAGATCACGTAAATAAATGCAAAGAAGATTTTTCGGAACCAAACAATATTTTGAATCCAAACCCTAGAAGACGTATCTGCTGAAGCTACTAGTGAATCTGGGAGGCAACGAGAGACCTCCACGGTGAGACCTTTCTTGTTCAACAATCTTACTCCACAGCACTTGTCTAAATAATTTCAGAACACCATGAAACCCTAACTCCATTAAGCGATATTGCTTGTTCTCTAAGTTTCTCCTGCTTAGAAGATATAGCTTTTGTGTTAACCTTTCATTTTCGTATCACAGATCTTGTGTCGTCTGAACGTGAAACAAAACAATGAGCGAGACAGGAACATCATCAGGTTGCAGAACCGAAGAAGACAGGATAAGCTTCTTACCTGATCACTTGCTCTGTGAGATACTCTCTCATCTTCCTACAAAGACAAGTGTTATGACTAGTGTTCTGTCCACCAGATGGAGAACTATCTGGCGTTCGATACCTCTCTTGGATTTGCACACTGATGATTTCCCTAACTTCACCGCCTTGGCGAGCTTCATCTCCCGTTTTCTAGATGGCTTACCATGCTTACAGAAGCTCAAACTTGCTTTGGTCTCTGAGAGACCTATTGAAGATATTACTAATGAGTTTATGAAATTAGCTTTTAACTTTGAGGGAACTATTACTGATCCCTATTACTTGATGAGACAATGGATCAACAATGCAGTTACACGTAAAGTTGAACATCTAGATATCTTCTTACATCCTTTGATAGTGGAGATAAGGATGCCACTAAGCATCTACACCTGTGAGACTCTAGTATCCTTGAAACTCTCTAACGTGAAACTGGCTGATTCCAAGTGTGTTTCTCTACCTCGTCTCAAGATCATGCATTTAGTAGGCACTTTTTACATTAATGATGCTTTTATGGAGAAGCTTGTCTCATCTTGCCCGGTTCTTGAAGAGTTAACAGTTATTAGCAACAGAGATGGAGATTACCGCTTTATGGTTTTACAAGTTTGTTCAAAGTCATTAAAGAGTCTTGTGGTTGATCTCGATGGTAGAGAGTTGATGTACAAAGCTTGTAGGGTTGTTGTGATTGATGCTCCTGGACTCAACTATTTGAGGCTTAAAGATAAAACGTTCACAAGTTATGTAATAAGCAATTTGAGTTCATCTGCCAAGGTAGACATTGATGTCAGTTTTAATATTGTGAACAGAAGTTATGTAGGGAGAGGAAGTTTAATCGACATGTTCTTGAGGGCAAGGAACATGACAACAAGCTCCTCAAAGAGAAGTTTCTTCAGCATGCTCTCGAGCGTAAGGGACATGACTATAAGTCAAACAACTTTAGAGGTATACATATATTTACATTTTATATGTGTGTCAATGGATTTGATTATTTTAGAATTTTGAATGAAAAGTTTTTTTATTTTTTTAATGTGTTTGCAGGGCATTTGTCTCTACTCGAAACATGAACCACTGCCTCAGTTTCTTTACTTGATCCGATTACATGCAGTCTTGTATAACGCTAATTTGGGAATGTTGCTAAACATTCTTCAGATCTGTCCAAATCTCAAGTCTCTTGTCTTGGTGATGAAACTTTACCTTTTATATTATTATATGGTTTTTTATTCACATCTATAGATAGATGTTATAAAACTCATTTTTATTTCTTGAATGGTTTCATATGCAGGAGTTGAGTAATCTTAAAATGGATGAACTACTTACTTGCTCTTCATCATTAGTTCCGGAATGTTTAAGATTGTCCCTGGAGTACGTTGAGATAAAAACACCGATAAGAGGAGCTAGAGCTGAAATCGAACTTGTGAAGTACTTCCTGGAGAACTCGGCGGTGCTCAAGAAGTTTAAGCTGTGTTTGCGTTGTAGGAGAATGAAGGAAGAGTCAAACATTTCCATGGAACTCTTGAGATTGAGGAGATGCTCTCCTTCTTGTGAAGTTGTTGTTCAACTTAAAGAGTTCGAAGAGACTTCTCTCAAACTATGAATATTTCTATTTTTCAAGACCTTTAAGTAGTAGTTGCCTGGTAGACAGTGAAGACTCATAGCAGTTGATTTTTTGGTTCGATTCGGTTTGATTGGAGTTTATTTATATTTCAGTTTGTTGGTTTTGTGAAGAAGGAAACCAGGACTGGATTTTACTATGGTTTGGAAAATTGTAAAATTGCTTCAGTTGAGACTTGGTTAGAACTTGATGAAAAATAATATTTGTAAGCAAGCTTTTTAGGTCATGTCTGGAATTTTCTATTATGATAGTCATTTTGAGCTTATGGCCCTTAGTTATGAATGATGCTTATAACTTATACAACTTTAATTGTCTTCTCTAAAGCCATCACTGCACCATCAGCAAGTTTAATATCCTTGTTTTTCCATATCAAAGATCAAATTCATATTTGATATTATTGAATGTATTCATGTTCATGTTCATCTCCCAGTTTCTATATGTCTCTAAGGGCTCATCATCATGCTTACACAAGCTCAAACTTTATTTTGGTTTTGGGAGAACTATTAAAGATCTCTCTAATGAGTTGTGGAAAGTTCCTTTTGTAAGTGCTTATCTTGTTCCCTCTTACTTGATCACACAGTGGATCAACAATGCACTTAAAGTTCAACATCTAGATATAGCATTCTTGTATCCTTGGATTGTGGAGATGATGCCACTAAGCATCTACACATGTGTGACTCTTGTGTCCTTGAAACTCTCTAACGTGAAACTGGCTGACTCCAAGTGTGTTTCTCTACCTCGTCTCAAGATCATGCATTTAGTAGGCACCTTTTACATTAGTGATGCTTTTATGGAGAAGCTTATCTCGTCTTGTCCGGTTCTTGAAGAGTTAACAGTTATTAGAAACGGAGATACAGTGTACGACCTTAGGGTTTTACGAGTGCGTTCTGAGTCATTAAAGAGTCTTGTAATTGAAATCCGTGGTAACAAGTACAGTGAGGAGGACACTGGGAAAGCTGTTGTGATTGATGCTCCTGGGCTTAACTATTTGAGTCTTGAAGATTACTAGTCTACAAGTTTCGTGATAAGCGAGCTAGGTTTATCTGCTGAGGTAGATGTTAATGTCAGTTTTGATATGGACTTTGATGACACGGATGTGGTTGACTCCTCAAAGAGAAGTGTAGTGAGAACATTCTTCAGCATGCTATCTATTGTAAGGGACATGACTCTAAATGGAACAATTTAATTTACAGGTGTGTGAATGGACTTTTTCTAAGCATTTTGAATCTTTTCTTGGATTACAAGTTATGTTTTCTTTGTTTGCAGATCATCTCTCTCTACTTGAAACATGAACTGCTTCCTAACTTTCCTTACTTGATCTGGTTCCATGCGGTCTTTTATAACTCTGGCTTGGGAAAGTTGCCAAACATTCTAGAGAGCTGTCCTAATCTCAAATCCCTTGTCTTGGTGATGAAACTTTACCTTTTATATTATTATATAGTTTTATTCACATCATCATTGACAAAAAAAGCAAAAGTTGATCTGCTTATAATTCATCTACTTCTTGAATGATTTATATATACAGGAACTGGAGGAATTTAAGATGAACGAACTACTTATTCTTACATCATCAGTTCCAGAATGTTTAAGATCATCCCTGGAGTACGTTGAGATAATTACACCTATAGGAGGAGTTGTAGCTGAAATGGAACTAGTGAAGTACTTCCTGGAGAACTCGACGGTTCTCAAGAAGTTTAAAATGTGTTTGCGTCGTGGTAGAATGAAGGAAGAGTCTATCATCTTGATGGAACTCTTGAGATTGAAGAGATGCTCTCCTTCTTGTGAAGTTGTTGTTGACCTTGAAGAGTTAAAAGAAACTTGTCAAAGTATGTTGAGATACTACACCTTTTTGTAACACTTGCAGTTTTCCCTTATAGAGTAACAAGAATTGGATTTGAGAATTGGTCATGTTTGAAATTTTAGTTGCCTGGTAGACAGTTAGACTCATAGCAATCAATTTTTCGGTTTGGTTGGAATTTTATTTATATTTCAGTTTGTTGGTTTTGTGAAGAAGGAAACAGGATATATAGGATTTTACTCTGGTTTGGAAAGTTTTATATAGCTTCAGTTGAGATTTGGTTAGGACTTTGATTAAAAACAATACTCAATTCAGATTATGAAATTAGAAGGAAACTAATTTCATGCTTAAGAGTAATGGTTAATCAATAAAATGATAGTAAAGTAGTTTCATGATTCAAAAAAAGTTTTTCTTTCTCAATCCAGCAATTTGCATACTGAATTACATAATAGTTATAAAATTGCAATTTGGATAAAAAATCTTACGAGAACAAAATAAAAATAAAAACAGGTTTCTTTCACGTCCAAAACTCCCACTTTAGGCTCTGCCCTTTCCTTTTCCTTTGCCCTTGTTGTTAGAACCAAATTGCTTGCCAGAATTGAATTGCCTGTGCACACCATTCATCAAACTATCAACATCACACGGATCACAAAAAAACATAAAAATAGAAAGGCTCATCATTAGCCTCAAAGAGAGAAAGTGAAGACTCACTTCTTGTTAGAACCACCACCAGATTTAGGGCTCTGGTTAGCATTCATAGGACTCTTTCCACCCTTTTTAGCTGGGTGTGGTGTAGCTGTGTGTCCTCCTTTCTTCTCTTCTGTAACAAAAAAAAAAAAAAAGAATTGAGTATCTTCTTAAGCCAATAAAGATTTGTACACTTCTGCTTGATTTATTCATTTAACCATCCAATGATTCTCAAGAACAAATTGGTTTATGATCTTTCACCTGCTGGTTTTGCTTTCTTTGCTGAAATAGGTGTTTTGGAAGCAGATTCATTCGGCCTCTTTTTGTTGGATACCTCAGGCTTCTTAGGTGTCTCTTCATCTTCTGAATCATCTTCTTCCTCATCATCCGAATCATCCTCATCAACATCCATCTACAAAAATCATCACAACAAAGAATTGTCACCAAACCAGTAGCCTCACAATATCAAAGTTAGAAAAACACAAAGTCATAACCACTCACTCCTTGCTCAGAGTCTGATCCATCCTCTTCAGAATCATCCTCCTCATCAGACTCATCATCATCCTCATCTGATTCAGGCTTCACTTCCACAGGCTTGGCAGCCTTTGGTTTTGAATCAGCCTTGACAACATTTGAACCATTAGCAGTGACAGCTGCAGGAACAGGAACTGCAGCTTCTTCCTCCTCCTCATCGTCCTCTAACTCAGAGAAATCCTCATCTTCTACCATGTTTGGGGATTTGTAGCCAACAAAGTGAACACTTCCACTCTCTAAAGAGTGGGAAAGCTCAAACTCTTTCTCAAAGACAAGATCAAAGCTAATCTGAGGAATGTTGCCTTGAGAGAGAGTTCCAATCACAAGCTTCTTCCCATCAACTGTCACATATAAAAAAGCAGTTTCTCCCTTCTTCCCTTTATCAAGAGATGCCTATTACAAAAGAGACAAAACAATTAAGAAACTGCATGAACAACTAATAATGAAATTGAAGAAGTATTAACAAACCTGAGAAACATGGATGACAGATTCAAATTCAGGCTTCACTTTAAGTGACTTCCCTGCTTGAACTTCAACACCTAAATTACATTTAAGATATAAAAGTCAGTTCCACGTCTAACTAAATAGACGCAAGAAGATAAGTATTTACAGACCAAACAAGATAAGTATGAACACATAAGTTCAACAGGTTGTAATTAAAAGACAAAGCTACATAGAAAGAAGAATCATACCCCAAAATTCCATTGTTGGTGATTTGAGAAAGAAATATTGAATGGAGAAATTGCAGTGGAAGAGGATGAAGAGAGGTAGGGGTTTTGGGGGGCAATTTATAATACAGAGAGAGGTTTAGGGTTTTTGTGTTTGAGCTCCTACGGCGCCGTTTTGGTTGAGCGTAACGCTTGAATATAATTGGAAGAATATTTGCCTAATTAAATAAAATTACGTTTTGATAATTTCACATTTCATATATTTACATATATTTTGGTAAAGAATTCTCATAAATTAAACATTATCTTCCTTACTGGAAGTGAATTAAAAAAGAAAATCATTTTTAATCAGTTGTGCTAAGTATTTTCATTAGACAATACAATACAACAAAATATTCAAAAAACTGTCTTACAAACAAATTTGAACTTGAAGCGACAAAACCCCGTCCATTTCCCCAACCGGTGTGTTCTAGAGCCAACATTGATCTTGTGTTCATGGAAAGTGAAAACTCGGAGGTCTTCACCGGAGCTGCTATCAGCCTATCAGGAGACAAACTTGACGCATTGGGACATAGTATACGTGACAGAGACAATAATAGCTAAAAGATGATTACGTGCATACACACATATGCATTCTATGAGACCAATAGGAGAGAACCTCAGATACTCATATGATATATCACATATGCTAAAAGATGCAAACAGATGATTCTATGCAAGACAAGCAAATATTAAGAGAACATTTGGACCAAACACCATTGAAACACTTCAATTGCCAAAAAGAATTGTAGTTGTTTAAGTAACAATATGCATAAACTAGCTTCTCTAGTAACTGAATGTTAGAATATTACATCTACACAATTGTTCTAGCTAGAGCCTATATCATCTAATAACGCATTCATCTCTTCTGCTGCTACTATATAGTGAGGCCAAAAATCCTTGTCTTCCATGGAACTACACATCTTGAATCCTCCCACCATATCACTGTTTCGGTTCTAACTTGTATAGGCCATTTACGGACATGGAAGGAATTCCACTAACTTGTCGTTTGGTTGTTTTCAATAACTCCCTTTCCATTACCGTTTTTGGATAATTTCTTTCCCCCTGAAAGAATATAATAAACACAGAGAAAAGATGAGTAACACTAGTTGAAAGTATACAAAATGACTGCCAGAAGAAGAAAATGGCGATGGATATAGAAAGCTACCACTTGTATGATTGTTAAAGGAGTTTTTCATTATCTAGTATCACGAGTAAGTCATCCTTCATATCCCTTTTTCTTATCACCTGTGACAATCTAAAACCTTAAATCGGGAAGAAAGATCGTCTTAGCTGAGGCTTTGAACTACGCAAGGTATTTTAAGCAAAGCTACGTGATTCAAAATTAGAGACAGTATGCATATAGCTAGCAACTAAGCTAAACTGGCATTGCATTAAGTTGTAAAAGCATGAGAAGAGTGAAGTGGAAGATATAACAATCAGACATACCAAAACTGATCTAGCTCTGTTGATTGACAATAACATAAATCTCTAGCACATTTTTTGGGTCGTTTGATCTTCTGTTTGGATAATGCTTCGTCAAGAAAACCTGCATAATGAATAAACTGATCAAAGACATTTGTAACAACAGAAACTGTAACTACTGAACCAAAACAGTTTCAAGTTAACATGTTTCCTAGTGGGGTGTTTCAAACAATGTACATATATGGATTTAACCGTTCAATATGATGATGTACATTGGATATCGATCTCCCTCTCAGATTTGTACAGAGAGGATCACGAGGAGAATCGTTCAGTGACATTGTAACATCCATAGTCACTCATCGCACATCGAATATCCGTCTGCAGCCACACCAAATAATCATACGGACAGTAACAGTTTTTTTACAAATTTAAATGATGACCGTATTGTTATTTTATGATTATTATTTGCATCTTTTATAAGATCTTATTAGTATAATAAAATTAACATTTTTACCGTACCAAACGCTTTCTTCTCTTCCATCGCGCGCTGTACCGGTTTTCCATCTCGGGGAATTAGATTTGTTTCTCTGTCGAGAGAATCGTCATCGATCTCTGTTCTCTGTTGACCGTCACCGATCCCAATCTCGAGACTCCCTGCCTGCGACGTGGCGCTCTCTCTCTCCTTCTTCCACTGATCTAACGATTGTGAATTAGGGATTTTTCCACGATTCAAAAATGGCAGCGCCGAGGCCAACGGGGAATCAGGATCTGTTCGATACGTATTTCAGGAGAGCAGATTTGGATGGAGATGGCCGTATCAGTGGAGCCGAGGCTGTCGCTTTCTTCCAACGCTCCGGTTTGCATAAGAACGTCCTTGCTCAGGTCTTTCTTCACCTTAAATCTGCATCTCCTTTGATTTTCTGTATTTTTGATTGATTACTCGTAGGTTTTGAATTGGATCATTGGTGGAAACGTGACATGATACACCTCTATTTTCCATTTTGGAGAGCTTATAGTCTAGTTTATGTAAATTCTATTTGAGAATCCAGTTTTGTGACTCTCAAACAGATGCTTGGCTGAGGAACTCTCCAACTAGTTTGTGTGATATGTACTGTTGCTATTAGATAAGAGGCATTGTGTTTTAGTGGATATGTTTGAATGCATTATAGTTTCTTGAGTGATCTAGATGCGTAGAACATTGCATGTGATGAGAGAAATTCTGCATATTTAGAATGATCATAACGTTGCTTGACTATAGAAAACATCTGCAGATTCGTTCAGATATAAGTTTTCTGGGCGCGTATTGTACAATTAGTCTTTCGATTGTTAATGGTATAGCTTCTTCTTTTTATAACGTCCTTGTAGGTATGGTCCCACGCAGATGAAAAAAAAGCGGGTTACCTTGGTCGAGAGGAGTTTTATAATGCTCTAAAGTTGGTAACTGTGGCACAAAGTAGGCGGGAATTAACTCCTGCGATAGTCGAAGCTGCAATCCGTGGTCCTGCTTCTGCCAATATCCCTGCTCCCAACATAAATCTTGCTGCAGCGCCCTCTCCACAGCCTAGGGGAATTGTGCCTGCTACACAAGCTCAGGGAGGGCCTCAAATGGGTGGAACCGTAAGAACTAGTAACCAACAAGTAGTCCCGGGCCAGCAGAACCAATTTACTGGGCCACCTCAATCTCAACCTCAGCAAAACTTTCAAAGCCAGGGTATGCCAGCTGGAGGGACTAGTGCCCCTCGAACTGCAAACCAACCTATGACATCTGATTGCCTCAGCGGCAGAAGTGTTTGGCCCTCTGGGCAAGTGAATTCTCAAATTCCTTCGAGTCAAAGTGGATATGGTTTGACAGCACCTAACTCAGTTGCCAGCAATATGCCAAAACCGCACATGACACCTGCAGTAATAAGCTCTACGACAGCCAGACCTCAAGAATCAGCGCCTGTGCATAAGCTCCATGATTCATCTGCTCCAGGTACTCGTGCTCTAGATGCTCCATCTAATCAATTGGCAGCCAAGGATCCCAAGGAACTGGCTGCCGCAGGAAACGGTTTTCCCTCTGACTCACTTTTCGGAGATGTGTTTTCAGTTACTTCCGCGCAGCCAAGACAACATACTGCGGGAACTACTTCGACAGTGGGCAGCTCATCTGCTTCTGGTACACCTGGCTCTACTGT